GCTCCGTCCGCCAGACCGGCCACTCGCTGCGCGCCACCTCGTCTGCTTCCGGTCCGTCGTTCTCGACATTGGCGGCGGCACGCAGCTACCTCCCGAGCAGCCGGACTAGCACCGTTGGCTGCTCCTCCCTCGGACGCGCCTTTTCCACGACGCCAGCTGCTCGCAGGGCCACGCCCATCGAAGAGGGCGACGGCGAGCCGTTCGACCTCTCCACAGTAGAGCGAGTCTCGGACGAGGTCGACGTCATCATCGTCGGTGGCGGTCCTGCCGGTCTCAGTGCTGCCATCAAGATCAAGCAGCTCGCTGAAGAGCGTGGCGAGGAGATCCGCGTCGTCGTCCTCGAGAAGGGCCCCGAGGTCGGCAACCACATCCTCTCTGGTGCCGTCATCCAGACCAACGCCCTCGACGAGTTGCTGCCCAACTGGAAGGAGCTCGGTGCGCCGCTCAACCAGCCCGCGCTCGAAGACCACATGCGCTTCCTCACACCCACCGGCTCCTTCCCCATGCCGCACCCGCCACAGATGTCCAACAAGGGCAACTACATTGTCTCGCTCTCGCGCGTCGTCGCCTGGCTGGGCGAGCAGGCCGAAGCCGCCGGTGTCGAGATCTACCCCGGTTTCGCTGCCGCACAGCCCCTGTGGCAGCTCGACGACGCCGGCAAGCCCATCGGCATCAAGGGTGTCATCACCAACGAGATCGGCCTCGACAAGTCGCGCAAGCCCAAGGACTCGTTCGAGCCGGGCATGGAGTTCCACGCGCCCATCACGCTGTTCGCCGAGGGCGCGCACGGCTCCATGACGCAAAAGATGATCAAGCAGCTCGGCCTTCGCGACGCCGTCGGCGCTGACGCGCAAACGTACGGTCTCGGTGTCAAGGAGGTGTGGCGCGTCAAGCCCGAGAAGCACCAGGCGGGTCTGGTAACGCACACCATGGGCTGGCCGCTCGACACGAGCACGTACGGAGGCAGCTGGACGTACCACATGGAGGACAACATGGTGTCGCTCGGTCTCGTCGTGGGTCTCGACTACCAGAACCCGTACCTGAGCCCGTTCCGCGAGTTCCAGCGCATGAAGCACCACCCCTTCTTCAAGGACCTGCTCGAGGGCGGCGAGTGCCTCGCGTACGGCGCCAGGACGCTCAACGAGGGCGGCTACCAGTCGATCCCCAAGCTGCACTTCCCCGGTGGTGCGCTGGTCGGCTGCGCGGCGGGCTTCCTCAACGTGCCCAAGATCAAGGGCACGCACAACGCCATGAAGTCCGGCATGGTCGCTGCCGAGGCCGTCGTCGAGGCGCTGGCCAAGCGCGCCGAGTCCGGTTCCGAGGAGACCATCGATCTGGCCGACTACAAGACGCGTCTCGACGACACGTACGTCATGAAGGAGCTGTACGAGGTGCGCAACCTGCGACCCTCGTTCCACGGCCCGCTCGGCTTCTGGGGCGGTCTGGCCTACTCGGGCCTCGACTCGATGATCCTCAAGGGCCGTGTGCCGTGGACGTTCCACCACCCGGGCGAGGACCACGCGCAGACCAAGCCGGCGGCGCAGTGCGAGCCCATCGAGTACCCCAAGCCGGACGGCACGCTGTCGTTCGACATCCTCACCTCGGTCAGCAGGACAGGCACCAACCACGCCGAGGACCAGCCCGTCCACCTCATCGTCAAGGACGGCGACTACAAGGCGCACGTCGAGCGCAACGTGGGCACGTTTGAGGGGCCCTTGGGTCGATGCTGCCCCGCGGGTGTCTACGAGTACGTTGACGCCGACACGCCGGCGCAGGAGGACGCGCTGGGCAAGAAGCTGGTGATCAACAGCCAGAACTGCATCCACTGCTACACGTGCTCCATCAAGACGCCTGATCAGAGCATCCGATGGGATGTGCCCGAGGGCGGAGGAGGTCCCAAGTACTCGTTGACCTAAGATGGCTCTCTCTCTTTCTCTCTTTCTCGTAGCATGATCAGAACGCACTCAATTCACGAATATCGCCTGAAGCAGCATCTGTGTGATGTTTGGATGGGATGGACTAAAAGTACAATGAGGCATGTTGAGGTAGGGGTCGACTGGCGTGCTCTACTCGGGCTTGGGGTCGACGACGATGGCAAAGTTGTTCCTATGCTTGCCCGGATTGAGCTCTCGCTTCTTGAACACGGTTCCGTCCCACTCGTCGCCCGCGCCCGGCGCCGCATTCTCGTTCTTGGCCGCAGCCTCGCGTCGTTCGGCCAGAGGCTTGCGCTGGAGCAACCAGCGCGACAGCTTGGCCGAATCCGACTGCTTGAGCACGCTGAATCCCAACGAGTCCAAAATGCTCCTGAGGTGCGACTGGTTCATGTACCGCGAGTTGGTCAAGCAGCTGAGTGGGAGCACCAAAAAGCAGAAGCCGGGCACGTCGGCGCTGGTGGGCAAGTACTTGTGCACGTGGCGCAGCATCTCGCCCCGCTTGCGCACGTCGCCGACAAAGTTGATCACCAGGCTGAGCGCGACCATGTTGTATGTCTCGGCCTCGGCGGTGGGGACGGGGAAGTCGAAGAAGCTGTACTTGAGCACGTTGTCGCCCTGCGGATGGAGGTCGATCGAGGTGGCGTCGACCCAGCGGTACTTGGTGTAGGCGGTGCCCGTGATGGCGCCTACGTCGAGAACGCGGAACTTGGGCTGGTCGCGGCCGTGCTGGTAGACGGTGGCAAGCGCTTCCATGCACCACTTGCTCGTGGGCGTTTGGCCGGCCTTGGCGGAGCCGGTGAGCGACCAGGCTTGGTACTGCGCGAGACCGCCGAGCGAGTCGAGCCCGGCTTGGATCTCGTCCTTCTCCTCTGCGGTCTTGGCCTGCTCGAGCTGCTTGAGCAGCGTGTGGAACTTGGCGATCTTTTCGGCGTGTTCGGCGGGCGGGACGGGAGCAGCTTTGGTGTCGTCGGTGTGGTCTTGGCCGTCAGCAGTGGTGGTCTTGGCTTTGACCTTGCGGGCTTCTTTGAGGGCTGAGTTTTGGACGTCGGCCTGCTGGGCTCGCGCTCCACCCTTCTTGTGCTTGACGCCGCCACGTTTGCCTCGAGGTCGGATGAGCTTGCCTTTCTTGGCACCGCCTGCGGGTTTCGCTTCGGTCGACTCGGCGGCAGGAGCAGCAGCAGCAGGAGCAACAGCAGCTTGGACGGCTTGCGCCTTTGCGCCTGGCTTGTTCTTCTTTGTTCGGGACATTGATGCTCCTCTGTGGCCGCTCGGAGTATGCGATGGACTGTTGAGGTGTGATCGGAACCTTGCGTGTGGTCTTCTTGACGTAAAGGCCTTGGTCAACCGCACAGCAAGGGTCCAGCCAGCTAGCTACGCACTCATCCTGCAAAGCTCGCAAGCTGAAGTTTTCAAAATTTTGGAAGAAAATTGACTTTTCTGACCCGTTTGGTGGCGGCGGCGGCGGCTGTTGCTGCTGCTGCTGCTGCTGCTGTTCTGCTCCACATTCAGCGAGAACGAAAATTCACCGGAAAAGCCGTCTCGATCTTCTCGTGCGCAGTGTGGCAGAGGGACGAAGAGACAAGACAAAGGAGCAGCAAGTTTGCTTGCTTGCCTTTCATCATCGGATCCTGTTCCGCCTCTGCAGTCGAGCTGTCAAGAAGCGAGTCTCGCCTTTCGTCGTCTCGTTCTTCCTCCATCAGCCACCTGTCTCTCTTCAGGACACCCCGTCCATCCTCTTCACAAAACATGAAGACCTCGCAGATCGTGCTCACGTCGCTCTCCGTGCTCGGAGTGGCCGGCATCGGATACGCCTTCTACTTTGACCACCGTCGCCGCAACGACGCCGCCTTCCGCAAGAGTCTGCGCAAGGAGAGCAAAAAGTCGTCCAAGGCCGACAAGAAGGCCGCCGCCAAGCGTGCGCAGCAGGAGGATGGCTTCATCCAGGACCTCCTGCACGAGGTGCGCGCTCCCGGCACCTTCCCCGCCGACGTCGAGGAGCGCGAGCAGTTCTTCCTCAAGTACGTCTCGCTCGGCGAACAGCTCTTCGCCATGGGCGCCGACAAGTACCTCGACGCCGCCGCCGCCTTCTTCAAGGCGCTCAAGGTGTACCCGCAGCCCGTCGAGCTCATCATGATCTACCAGAAGGCCGTGCCCAAGGAGGTGTTTGACACCATCATGCGCATCGTCAGCAAGGACATTGCTACCGGTGGTGCCGAGGGTGGTGCAGAGGGCATGTCGGCGGCTAGCCTCGACGAGGTGGACGACGACGGTCCGTCGCCCGCTGGTGCCTCTGCCGCCGCTCCTGCCAAGCCCGACGCTGACGAGGACGACGACGACGAAGACGACGCCGGCGACAAGAGCGACGACAAGGAGGCCTCCACGTCCACATCCTCGGCCGCCCCAGCAGCAGCACCCCACCAGCAGGGCACCGACAGCGGCACCACCTCGAGCCAGGAGTGGGACACTCTTTCGGCCACCAGCCTCAACGAGACCGGCGTCATTGTCACCCCGAACGCCGCCCCCGCCAGCACCGCCTCTTCGCAGAGCCCCGAGGAGGACAAGTCGTCGTCGTCGTCCACCACCAAGACGGAAGAGCCCAAGTTGACAAGCATCGACACTTCGGCCGCCGCCACCGCCGCTGCTGCTCCCTCGACACCGTCCAAGCAGAACTTTACTTCTGACTGGAGCCCCGCCCCCGTGTTTGGCGCCTCGAGCCCACGCGCAGAGAAGAAGGCTTCGGTCGAGGCCGAGTAAGGCATGTATCCTTGCCAGGGTGTTTGTTCCCCAAAAAAAGCGGCCGTCTAGGAGATCCTCAAACGGTCGCAGCTTGACTTGCTTCGAGTACCTTTTCCCACCATTTCATGTATCTATCTCCACTCTTGCCCCAATGTACATCTTCTCGTCGTCCGTCCGCATCATGCTGTCCTTTCGTCTGCTTGACACGCACGCGCGCACAGTCGCTGTCCCTTCGGCCTGGTGCAAACACCACCACCAACAAAGAGGCAATCTTCGAAGACCAGTCAAAGCTACATATACGCAATGTTGTTTCCTCGTCCGAAAACGGCTGCTCCGGTGGCCAAGTTGGATTAAGGCATGTGGCTTATGTGTCTCAGGCTGGCGTAGTAAATGTTGCGGCCTGGAGATCATGATTTTATCGCAGAAAAGTTGCTTTTCTAACACAACCGCGAGATCGTGGGTTCGAGTCCCACCCGGAGCAAAACTTTTACCAAATTTACTCCGGTCTCTTTTATCAATGACCTAGACCATTGAACGCCGACAGACGAGGGCTACCCCTCACCGAGGTTGGAACAAGATCGGTGCAGGAATGGCCGAGTTATGGTCATTTCAGTTTTTCGGTATGATGGTTTTTGCGACACCGGGGAGGAGAGGGAATGAAGGCATCGGGGAACGACTTTAGTGGATCGGGAGTCTGGCGATTTTCCGGCAACGCGCCTCCCAGCGAAGGTTGAGGAAGGATCTCGAATGCACATTTTTTTATCGCAGCAAAGACAGACCAAAAAAATCCAAGCAGAAAATGCGGGTCGAGAAATGCCTGAGAAGAGCCTGGTGCACGCTTAGCAGAGATGAACGTCACACGACTGAAAGGGACTGTGTCGTCCGGCTCATCTCGACCGCTGTGCCCGAAACAATGCTTTTCCCGCGAACTGAGCCGTCATCGGTGTGGACAGGTTTGCAACGTTCGATAGCCCATCCGACACCCGACTGAGCCCAGCGGCGCTGCTCTCCTGTAAAGCAGCTGACGGTCAGTGAGAGTCCACAGACAACGTTCAGAGTGAGTCAAGTGGAGCAGCAGCAGCAGAGGAAGAAATTCGCATGGTCTTGCTTGCTGAGCTGAGTCAATTCTTGGAAGAAAAAGAAAAGCAAATTTGGTCGGCGCTTGCTGACCACGACAGAATTCGAGAAGATGCAAGAAAGCGACGTGCTGCCGTGGATTTTTTTCTTGGCTGAGCAAAAGACGTCCGTCCGCTTTTCCCTGGACCTTCCGGATCTTCTTTTCAGTTCTGTCCTGCCAGTTGGCCACTCACGTCCGCCAAATCAGAATGCGCCGTGGCTCGCCTTGCTTGCCTTCCTAGCGACGCCGCACCCGATCAATTCCATCCTCTCGTTCTTCTCGCTGCGTCTGTGCCCTCAGTGCGTAGAGACTCCTTCTTCTCCACCCGCAATTTTTCTTCCTTCTTATTCGTCATTTTCCACGCTCACTCTCTCGACACCACCATCCTCCGCTCCAGAGTCCACATACCCCTTCCCTCGTTTGTTCATCGAGGACTCTTTTTCGCTTCGCCACACCATCACCATCTCCACCCTCATCCGCACACGCATCACACAGCCATGTTCTCTCGTGGTCTCCGATCCGCCGCCCCGGCGACAAGGCTCTTGAACCAGCCTCTCCGCTCCGCCGCTCCTGGTGTTGCCGTAAGTAGCGCCCTCATTCTCGATATTGCTCTTGTGCGGACTGAAAACAGTGGCGCAGCGGTTGAATTGCATGGTCACAACTGATGGCGAGCACAAATGACTGACAAGCCTTACTTTCCCCACTTCTGTCTATTTCGCACTTCTAGCGCCTCGCACCCGTTGGCGCCCGTTTCAACTCCGGCAAGGTCTCGGGCCCTGTCATCGGTATCGACTTGGGAAGTGAGTATTTTTTTAATTGCGGCTCGAGCTTTGGCGACGCAGCGTATGGCTCAAGAGGCGAAGAAGCGACGATGCGTTCCAAAAAAAAAAAAGGCGCGGTGGCGACGACGCTCCGTAGCACGCTGAAGCGCAATGGAGCTGACCATTCTATCCTTGCAAACTTGTTTTCTTTTCGCGACAGCCACCAACTCATGTGTCTCGGTCATGGAGGGCCAGCAGGCCCGCGTCATTGAAAACTCGGAAGGTGGTCGTACCACCCCCTCCGTCGTTGCCTTCACCAAGGACGGCGAGCGTCTCGTTGGTCTCCCCGCCAAGCGTCAGGCCGTCGTCAACCCCGAGGCTACCCTCTTCGCCACCAAGCGTCTCATTGGCCGAAAGTTCCAGGACAAGGAGGTCCAGAAGGACTTGAACAACGTCCCCTTCAAGATCGTGCCCCACTCCAACGGCGATGCCTGGCTCGAGGTGCGTGGTGAGAAGTACTCTCCCTCGCAGATCGGTGCCTTTGTCGTCGGAAAGATGAAGGAGACCGCTTCCGGCTACCTCGGCAAGTCGGTCAAGCACGCCGTCATCACTGTCCCCGCCTACTTCAACGACTCGCAGCGTCAGGCCACCAAGGACGCCGGTGCCATCGCTGGTCTCGACGTCCTCCGTGTCATCAACGAGCCCACCGCCGCCGCCCTCGCCTACGGTCTCGACCGTGACGACTCGTCGGTCATCGCCGTCTTCGACCTGGGTGGAGGTACCTTCGATATCTCGATCCTCGAGATGCAGAAGGGTGTCTTTGAGGTCAAGTCCACCAACGGTGACACCCACCTCGGAGGTGAGGACTTTGACATTGTCCTCGTTGAGCACCTCGTCAACGAGTTCAAGAAGGAGTCTGGCCTCGACCTCTCCAAGGACCGCATGGCCATCCAGCGTATCCGTGAGGCCGCCGAGAAGGCCAAGATCGAGCTTTCCAGCACCCAGCAGACCGACATCAGCTTGCCCTACATCACCGCTGACGCCTCGGGCCCCAAGCACATCAACTCCAAGATCACGCGCTCGCAGCTTGAGTCGCTCGTCGGCAAGCTCGTCGACCGCACCGTCGAGCCATGCAAGAAGGCGCTCTCCGACGCTGGCTGCAAGCCCTCGGACATCCAGGAGGTCATCATGGTCGGTGGTATGAGCCGTATGCCCAAGGTGCTCGAGACCGTCAAGGGCATCTTCAAGCGCGACCCAAGCAAGGGTGTCAACCCCGACGAGGCCGTCGCCATCGGCGCCTCGATCCAGGGTGGTGTCCTCTCCGGTCAGGTCACCGACGTTCTGCTGCTCGATGTCACCCCGCTCTCGCTCGGTATCCAGACGCTCGGCGGTGTCTTCACGCGTCTGATCAACCGCAACACCACCATCCCCACCAAGAAGTCGCAGGTGTTCTCCACCGCCGCTGACGGCCAGACCGCCGTCGACATCCAGGTCTACCAGGGTGAGCGCGAGCTCGTCCGTGACAACAAGCTGCTCGGCAACTTCCAGCTCACCGGCATCCCGCCTGCGCCCAAGGGTGTCCCCCAGGTCGAGGTCACCTTCGACATTGACGCCGACGGTATCATGCACGTCTCTGCGCTCGACAAGGCCACGAACAAGGACCAGTCGATGACCATCTCTGCCGGCTCGGGTCTGAGCGACTCGGAGATCGAGAAGATGGTTTCGGACGCCGAGCAGTACGCCGAGGCGGACAAGGCGCGCAAGGCGGTGATCGAGGAGGCGAACCGCGCGCACTCGGTGTGCTCCGAGACCACCAAGGCGATGCAGGAGTTCAGCGAGCAGCTGCCCGCCGAGGAGAAGGAGAAGCTCAACGTGCTCATCAAGGAGACCGAGGAGCTCGCCTCGAAGGGTCTCAACGGCGACGCTGATGTCGAGGCACAGACGATCCGCGAGAAGATCGACGCGACCCAGCAGGCTTCGCTGCAGCTGTTCAAGCTGGTCTACGAGAAGAAGGGCGCGCAGTCGGGCAGCGAGAACGCCGAGGCCAAGCCCGACGCTGAGGGCGAGAAGAAGAACTAAGCCCCGTCTCTTGCCGTTCTTGTCTTCTCTCGCGCTTCCACTGCATACCACCCTCTCGGCTGCCCGCGGTCCTTGTAACAACAGCTCCCCCTTTCACTTGAATGTGGACAGGGCACTCTCCAAAAATCTCCACACTTCGAAGCCAGCCCTTTTTGGCTTCGATCTACGGTTCGTCAGTCGGCTCCTCTGCATCCCCTAACCGCATACACTACACCACCACCGCTTATCTTTTTGAATTCTCAAGTCTGTAACTTATCCGCGCTGCTGCTGTGTGCATGACGTTGTCGAGGCCGGTGTCTTACCATGTGAGCCACAGCGCACATTGACGTTCTCACGTTTGACCGAACACGCGGCTCGATTTGGACACGCCGAAGCAGAGAATAGAGACGTGAGATGATTGCAAAGAAGAAAAAGGCTCGACAACGGAACGGTGATGTACATGTGCGACGACGGATCGAGAGAGAGACGGACGGGATCGGCTGGAGGGAGAACGACGGGAGACAGTGGTGTGATAGTGTGATGCAGGGGTCTTCGAGGTTCGAGTGGCAGAGCGCGGCTATGACGAAGCGGTTTGCTGCGCGCCTGATGCCGCGGTCGCCGGTGCTGCCTCCTCGTCCTCTTCCGGAATCGTGTCGGGCACCTCGCCGTCGTCGAGCCAGCTCGCCTCGACGGTCTCCTTGACCCGTCTGACATACTCCTTCATGTTCTCCCTGTACAGACTCGCCGCTTCCGCATTGGCGGGGCTATTCGGGTTGGGATCGTGCAGCAGACTCTGGATGCTCGTCAGGATCGCCGCAACGTCGTACGTCGGCGACCATCTGTTCTGTAGGATATCGAGACACAGCTCGCCGTTGGCGTAGACGTTCGGGTGGAACATCTTGGACAGGAACTTGACCGTGGGCGGCTTGTTCGGGTACGATTCGTCGAAGGTGAGGACGAGCTTGAACGTTCCGTCTTCGAAAGGGGTGTCGGCGGGCCCGAAGATGACGGCGTTCCAGATCATGAGGTTGTCCGCGCACGGTGCGCCAGAGATGCCACCGGGCGGGTCGGTCGAGAGCCGCTTGAAGTCGCGGATCAGACGCTTCTTTGACGGTGTGGACTGCCGAAGCGATACGACAAGTAGCGGAAAGCATTTGAGTCAGCGTCGTTGCAGCTGCCTGGCGATTCACTCGTATCGTCCCGTGTGCACTTACCATATTGGACTATTCGCTATCGCTGTTCGTGCTGGATAGAGACTTGTCTTGCGGGAGTAGGATGAGACGGTACGCAACGATCGCTGCTCTGAATAGCTGCAGCAGATGCTTCGACTTAGATGCTAGAGCGATGAATCTGGCTGTGTATGCGTGTTGCTGGCAGTCGCAGTGCAAGGCTGTGCAAAGACTTGAAGAGTTGTTGGTGCTGAAGAGACGGCCGTTGAAGGTGACGATGATGACTGCGGAATCGAGTCCAAGTGTTGGTCGGCAGGGTGACTTGTGCTCGCTCGCTCGGTTGCTGAGTCGGGCCTGAAAACGGTGGAATTGGCGC